CGAAGATAGGTCTTTCCGACAGAGCAAACGGCACTTAGGCCTACATGCATGTGCTGCCATTATCGTCATTACCACTTAATTTAACTATTAGGACTATGCAGCCTTTAAACTTTGAACTTAGTTCATTTCAAAGTAAAACTTGTTCAGTATTTTAAATTGTGCAAAAACGGTAGTTCAACCGGGGCCTGGTCTAACGACACAGACGCGTTTGTCGCCCAAAACAATAGAAACAATGGCAAACGCGTTCAACAGCACAAACCCGTTTAGACGCGTCTGGGACATATTCCGACTAGATTATTAATATTCATGAGGCACGATAATTAGACGATCGCTTTCCCAGACGCGTTTGTAATACATGATTTTCCCAGACGTGTTTCTGTCGTTGGGGATAATTTGTAGATCGCGCCTTATTCCACAATCACACAAATCTTGTTGGAATTGAAAATTTTGAGTCTTTAAATGTTTAAATGTTAAAAGATAAGGATGATGATTATTGATAATTAATTTACTAGAAACTAAACTCGCATGGAATAAATAAAGTAAACAACAAATATTTAATATAGTAAAATAGTCATTGAATAAATTCATTGGATCCAAACGATAAGTGTGTTATAAAGGTTCTTTTAGATGATCCGAAGTCAAGTGTAAAATTAAGATGTTACTCACTATTTATTTCTTGACGTTTGGCCTGCTATCAGCAAGGCTTAGTCATAAGTGCCTATATGAAAGTGGTGGGCTTTCCGATGTCAACTCGGATGAACCATGACGGTGAACTTTAGCCTTTGATGACCGTTTGGAATGTGCAGTGGTCCGTCTCTTTCAAGATGTTATCGTAAATATGTGGCAGCTTGTGTGCGCCCTAATCTCTGTTCATGTTATTGATTATTCTGGTGTTCCATGCTGATTCCTTGGTAAAAATGCTGACGGTATTCCAGTTTGGGACGTGATTATGTGAATCCCGTCCTACGTTCTACGCGCAACGTAGATTCAGCCACATTGTGTCCCAGAATCCATGCGACGAGGAGACACATGTGCAGGATGACTTCTTTATCTTCTACGTCCTACCGTCGTCGTGCAACCAAAAGCTCCCTAATGTAGAGATGTAATGTAATAAATAATAATAATAATAATAATAATAATAATAATAATAATAATAATAATAATAATGTATGTGTAATGTGGAATGATATTAAAATGATGACACAAATTCACAGACTTTAAGTGCACGGATTTATCAGTAACTGTATTTCCATATATTTTTAAGGACTCCTGTGCCTTTAATCGGTCCTTTACCACATATCACCCATCACCCCTTTGCTTCCCAGCCATGAGCTTGCTTCACTCACCACAGACTACCCCTTCCCATTCCTCAGGAATACATGTGTTTGACTAAAAAATGTGTTAAAGACATGGTTTAGTTAATGTACATTGTGTATTTTGTGTTTTTGTGTATGAAAATCATCAAAATTTTGAAATAGGGTGTATTGAAGAAATTGAGAAAAAGTTTTGGATATATCATGCCTTCATAACAGAGTATCAGGCCATTGTGTGGGCAGCTGTCCTGGCTTTTGTACTCACTCTCATTCACCACAACTTTCTCAACACTTCAACCTGCATGTCAATGAACTAAATAAATTCAAACCACTTCTTAATGATAAATACTCCTGTACCATGTCTGTAAAATTGTTTTATTTGTCATCTAATACAATTGTTGTCTTTCTAAAAATAGTCTTGATATTTCCATTGTAGTTTCAATCATTTTAAGTGTGCTATTATTGACCTTACTGTACTTAACTTTATTGCAGGTTTTCTTTTTTAATTCTTGTATTGTTTTCATTGAAATTTATCTTTATTTTTTTAAATATTATATTATAGTTTTATATTTTTTGAATTAGGGTAATATTTTGTATTTTATAGTTTATTTCCATCCTATTTAATTGGTGTATACACAGTTGGATGCAATAAAGGAATAATTAATATTTACTCTATTGAGTATTATAAGTCAATCGTGACGTCATCACTGTAACTCCCAATGTTATTTGCCTATTCCCCAGCGTCCACTAACTTTTCTATTAGTGGACGCTTGACTTGATTTTTTTTAGGTTTGTGTGCAAAAAAAATTGCTAATTTTTTCGTCACCGCAAATACATCGCGCACCGCGATAAAAATTGAATATTGAAAATTACTTTTGTAAAACAAGGTTAATTAGAACTCAAAGAAAGTTATTTCAAATTCAATATTAAGTATGAACAAATTTACAGCTACGACCAGGCAGGCCGCCCGGGCTTCCTCCTACTATTACTAGGCATAGGCCGTAGCCCTGGCCTAGTTATGAAATCATCGCACGATTTTACCTGTCTGCATGCACATCCAAAAAAAGGAAGTCAGTGACTGTATTCTCTCTCAAATGCTAAAATGTTTATTTCTTTGACGAAAGTCTATCAAAATAACATTACAAACAAGTTCTTTCTAACACAATAGTTATTCATCGTATCCGTACTGTATGCTGTACTGCTGATGTGTAGTTAATTAAACGCGTACTACAGGAGCAAAAATCAGCATACGCACAGCTAAATGTAGATATGCACACGTATATTTTCATTTCATTTCATTTCTTTATGCACGAGGGCCAAGGATATGCCAATAAGTGAATTTAATCACTGTCCTACGTGGCATATCCATTTAACAACAGGGGACTTAATGGACCAGTACACCGGGGTAACCCCCTACTCTTCTCGAATGCGTACACTGGGCCTACGGTTTAAAGTCCTTATCCGAGAAGACTTGTTCCACCTCCGGAACCATTGGCGAGTGAGCCGTTCGAACCAATGCCAATATTAGAGCTAAAGGTCACGGTGCCCCTGACTTAACCGCTCAGCCAATCAACTCGCCTTCAACTCATCTATACTGATCATATCACTATAGCAACCGACTGCTACAACAGTACACTGAATGGAAAATTATTATACTTAGGTTAGATTTAATGCATTCCAAAATTTCCTTCAGGCCTTGCAGGCCCTCAGGAAATTTTTTCAAGCATTAAATCTAACCTTCGTATAATAATTTTCCTATAGTGTACTATGCGGAGCTCTACTAATCCCTTATTTTTTGGTTAAGATTTTTAAATACATTGTTGTTTTTGTCTGTATTGCAAAACATGTTTAGGCTCTCTTTTAGAAACCTGGTCACACATGGTACCAGTGATTGCAGAAATTTGCTGACAGGTGTCTAATCCGACAAGCAGCTGGGGTCGACTAGAGTCAGGTCCCTGAATAAAAATCCCTGGTAGTGTTTATTGGGAAAGGTTTATAGCTTAGTATGGCCCGATATTGTGCTTTTAGACCAAAACAGGGATGGGCAATCAAAATAATGTTTTTCTTGGATAGGCCAATTAATATTTTTGGTCCTGTAGACTTGTCCAACAGGGGAGATTGCCACCTCCGACAACTGCATGCTCCCAAATATATTCTGAGTGAGCCCACTCTCCCTGAGTTCCTGTCACCTGTGTCACTTCATTCTGTATGTATTCTAAATTTATTTTCAATATAAAATTATTTTATTTTATTACTATTTCAGAATGCTAGTACAGCGTAATCGCCATCATGAGTGATTGTTTGAAAGATGAGATGTCCGAATTTGTTGATTCTTCTGAGAGAATAGAAGATCTGCATCAAATAGCTTGCCGACAAAATGTACATATAACCTTGTTCTGTGGAGGACCATTCAGTGGCAAACATCGCTGTGGACGAGAATTTGCACGAAAGCTTGCAGGAACAGCGAACCCTTCTTACTGCTTGCAGATAGATTTGCCATTCAGGTTAAAATACTCTCCAGAGGAGTCAATTGAAATCAGTATGATTAAATTTGTGGTAAAAGAGATGAAGAAGAATGAACTTTTTGAAAAGGATATTGACGAGATTTGTCAAAATAACTTTAATCCTGAAGTCTTTTTGGACTTTTTCTCAAAAAAGAAACAAAAATGTAGTAAATTCATATTTGTATTTGATGATGCTGACATTGTTGTCATGAAGAATAAGCAGGATGGTTTCTTGACTACCTTGAAAACATGGACTGAAAAATGCAAAAATGTGTTTGTGGTTTTGACAACCCAATTCCAATTCAAACTATATAGAGACTGCTTGACATATGATTGTAAACCATTGGAAACAGAGGATGCAGTCATTTTCTTGAAAAATGAAATAAAACGTATTAATTTATCACCATCTTTAAATATTGAAGTTCCAACTTTAGAAGAATGCACAAAACTTGTAGAATTAGTGTATTGTTGGCCATTCCTTGTAATGGTTGTTGCACATGAACTAGAAGATTACTCAGCAAATGAAATAATAGAGCTGCTAACAACTACTCCTCTACTGACCCTTAGTAATGAAGCTGCTTCCCAGATGGATCAACTGGACTATAAGCTAGAACACATGTTGAAGCTACTGTCGGATAAATTGAAGAAGGAGACCTCCTTTTTTGCCCCGGATGTTAAACAATTTTTCACTGTTGATGAAGTGATCAAGGTATCTCAGTATAAAAGTATTACTGAAGCCAAGCAAACATTGAAACCACTTAGGATAAGATCAATTGTCAGAAAAACAGATGGTGTTAACGAGTATGCCTTCATAGATTTTATGAAGGTTCATATTGATGATAATGCTCTTGACAACTTCCAACCATCAACATTCAAGAACACGTTTGTCAGAATGATAGGTGAACTTGTGTTACAATTTTTAAGAAATACTGTGAAATGTAATGATGAGGAAAGGAAAAGTAGACAACAGGCAGCAACAGAACTCAAAGCAATGTTGGACCAAATGGAAGAGTTTGTTAATAAGGCTAAGCACTCTGAACATGAAGACTTGAAAGACTGTGACTTTGAGAAAGTTATTGAGGCTGCTGAAACATTCCTTTATAGAGCTACAAGACAAAATGATCCAGAGTTTAGAAAGAAAGCAGATGAGGCTAAAAAAGTGTTTGGCAAAGACACACAAAGACGAGATTCTAATGAAAGTGGCACTTTTAGTGGAGAAGAGGAGGAACGTGTTGCCACAGTAACACCAGTTTTTGAATGTGAGCATAATGATGCTCAAGCAAGTGTACCTGGTTCTGTGGGACCATGTTCTCTAACATCAAATGCTGACATTGAAAATGTTCCGAATCCTCTTTTGCTTCAACAAATAGGTGGTTATCAACAACAACAATCCCGCTCTTCACACGGACCACAGGTGTCAACTGCTCTATTTAGACAAGATGTAGATGCCTTGATAAACATTTCACAGGAAACATCAATTGGAAATAGTAGAGAAGGACATGTTGTACCATCTGGATACAACTCCATTCCTTTGAAGGAGACCATAACTAGACATTAATTATAAATACACTTTAAAAGAATATCTATATATTTTTATTATACCATCATCCTTATACAAAGCATCTGAAATATTGTATAGTTGTCTCCGAATATATTAAGAAACAGTATAGCATTGTTAAATATCAGTAATATATAAGATCAGGGGCCCCGCTCCCCCTCCCCCTTTGGAAAGTTGAAAAAAGGAAGAAAAAAAGAAATAATTGATCACGCGAAACATCGGGCAAGAAAACACAAATTTCACGGAAAGCCCCCGGACTCTTTGGTGTGCTGGTGTTTCTATCAGCCCCACTTTCAGACATCTCTAGATCTGCCCCTAAAGGATCATTATATATAAGAATTGCTATAATTATGCTTATTTTGAATGATTTGTTCACATTTACAGTACTGGACAATATATTGTAATAGTGAAACCCTCCCTTTTGAGAGATGAACATGTTCTTTATAGAGGAAGTGGGGGAATGTCCATTCTTTTCTTATCTTTTCTCTCTCTCTTTTTCGGTGGTGTGCCGAACACCTATGGGCCCCACTCCCCTTTGTATAATAGGCACAGTTTTTGAAATAAGTTCATTTAGTTTATAGTTTACAAGCAAGTGTAAGATTGAAAGTAAAACATGTTTAACTGTAAACTTTTTTAAAACATGAAAGATCTATTGTAATTAAAGCATGGTTATGTTATTGCAAACAAACCAGTCATTATGCAGCGTGTAAATAGCGTACATATAGATTGTAGATGCTGCACTCATTGCTAAAATTATTATATATTACTATGAAAGTGTATTGCACAGCATGGACACTTTGGGCTTCCATCTACACAAAGTTTGTGAGTTTTGTAAATAGCCTTTACGATACAATAACATTTTTGGAACTACACAGTATTTGGTCAACTCAAGGAAAACTGTCCAGGGTATTTGCATATTAAGATTGATTTTGACGGTCCAATGACCTCTAAAAAAATGAGCAAAAATACTGTTTGTCATTGCACCATTTAATATAACTATTTCCTTTGTTTAGTTACCTCATCAGTGCTATATAAATGAGTTTGATTGGTTGAATACAGTAATATTTGATTCTTATAATTTATATTTGCTATTTTTTTATGGATTTTAGTTGAAACAATCTAAATTTTCTGCTGATTTTCAGTCTTTATTTTTTTGTCTGTGTTTGTTTTCATATACAGTATAGCAGTTCATCTAAATGTTGTGTTACAGCCATTTAGTGTTAATGGAGGCAGAAATAATCTTTATTTTTGGTGGTTTTTTTTTGCTTCCATCATCTGTCTTCATTTATATTATTTCTATTTGACTTGTCATTTTAATGAGCTTTTAATCTGTTCGTTGATGAAAGGGTTAGAAAAAGTCAATCTTACAAAATTATTAAATTTTACAGACTTTTTAAGGACATTTTTTGTAAAGATATTAGCATTTTTAGTGTATGTAATTTGATGTGATGATAGTTGCCTTCGATTTTATGCTCTAGGTGCTGTGACACAGTGGGAGATATCTGACTTTTAACAAGCATTTTTTTAACAGCATTTTGTAAGATTGTACTATTCTAATTTATAAGTGGTGACTATCTCCTGTCTCCCTGGCTTTAATGATCAAATGCTGTGAACCTCGTCAACAATTATCAAATGTTCTGGTTGTGGAACTGTTATACGTGCTAATATATAATAGTAATTCCTGGCTTATTTTCATTCCCATCTTAAAAGTGTGTGGAGGGGTGTCTATTAAGCAAAACACCCTGTGAGTGAAGTGCGCAGGACTGTGTGTGGTATTTATTAATGTTTATTATGATGCTGTTGCATTTCCATCCTAATTACATTGAAATCAATTATAGTTATTAATAACAAAGGGTGAAGTGCATGGCCATTTTTGTAATCCTTGTTAATCTTTGGATTTTTATCACTTTCAGATAACTACTTTGTTTACATTTTAACCTTTATTATATTATGTGGTTTGTAAATATTGGCCATCTATATATGTAATATGGTAGTAGAACAACATAAATTTGTAGTGCTGATTACAGTGTAGTTAGTAAAATGTGTATTCTGCAAACTGAAATCTTCTTTATTTCTCTCCCCTGAATGTAAATACTGTACATCTAATGACACAGATTTTCCTATAAGAGGTTTAGGTCCCTGTGAAGGGATATATATATGAAATTGATTGCTTTCAGAGCCTGTTGAAACGTGGCTCTTGGTATGTATAAATGAAAGAAATAGTCGGAGGCTTGGATGGAACAAAACGTCTTTAATTACGGAATCAAGCTTTCGAGCTTACGCTCTTCATCAAGATCTATACAAAAACATCCATAAAACAGTACAAAATCTTAAAATATAAAAACTACTTATTAAAATAATTTGCATTAAAATTACCTACTATTAAAATTCATCAAAATGAATGTACCATGCATAGTGCTTTCCGTTAATAATAGAATCTATAAATAAAGGTAAACAAAAGCCCAGACGTGACCTCCTTAAATATAATAAAAGGAAACAAATGAACAGGGTTCCCCTTGTTCTCACTTATGATCCAAGACTCTCTAATGTGTCTCACATAATTAGGAAACATATGCCGACCCTACACAAATCAGAGGATATGAAAAGACTATTTTCGGAGCCTCCGATTGTTGCTTTTAGAAGAGCAAAAAATCTAAAGGAGCTGTTAGTCAATGCAAAATTACTCCAAAAAAACCATCAGAAGGGGAAACTGGTTTTATTCAGTGCCCCTCAAAAAAATGCTCTGTCAGACCATTTATAAAAGCAACTAAGAAATTTACCAGTAATGTAAAACGACAATCCTTCCCAATCGCAACACTCATTCATGACAAAATGGATTGGTTAATTTATTTAATCACATGCCAAAAATGCGGAAAACAATACGTGGGGAAAACCACTACACCCCTTTACACTAAATTCACTAATCATAAATTAGACATTAAACATCATAATTTCCCATAAAGTAAAAACTTACCAGTTGGCCGTCATTTTAATCAAGCTAATCATTCTAATCAATAGAATATATATCAATTATAGGTATTGAGCGTATCATTAATAAACAAGAATCAATTATCAAGAGAAGAGAATCGTTTTGGATTAAAAAATTATAAACCTTTTACCCGAAAGGTATTAATGTTGATGAATGGCATCTCCCCTATACAAAGTTAGTTTATTTAATTATTAATCTGAAACTTCTGTCTTCTCGGTTACATAATTAATTATATGCTAATTAACGGATTTACGAAATTCTATCGCCACGTCAGCAATAAGCGAACGATTTCATTCCACAATACCAGAGTAGAGATCAAGAGGGTAACACCCCTAAGTCAAATCAAGATAAATGCACGTTTCAATTCAGTAAGTTTCACGAATTGCCTTTATAAATTCGTATTAAAGAACTCATTTTTGTATATATATTTTTATTTTTGTATATATATATATATATATATATATATATATATATATAGGATAGATGGTAATGAAAAAGACGCGATGGTTACCTGTAGTGGACGGCATCAAAAGTATCAATTACTGTTACAAAATTTTAATATTAATAAAAAATTATTTTATTTAGATATTTTAATACCTGAATATTGTGGTGGCATCTATTGCAATAAATCATCGATACTAAACGTGGTGGGCGATATTTCTTTAAAGCCAATTGCATTCATGATGGCTGCTCCAGCCTCGCCAAATGATGCCACATTCCTCAAATTCACAAGATAAGACCTAAAAATATATATATATATATATATATATATCTATACATATGTGTGTGTGTGTCTTCATCAATGTTTTGTTCAATGGCAAAGCAAACTAACGTCTCAGAATAATTTTAGCTTCTTTTTCATTGAAGCCTTAACCCTTCCTGTCAATGGGTTTCCATGGGGTGCGTTCAAAACCCTTCAATTGCCGTCTGCCTTTCGTAAATTCACTTGGCGGCTCCTTGATTGATGGTTTACAAGCGCATGGTTGTTAAACGTATACTGCTGACCAAAATTCGCGAAAATACCCCAAAATAATATATCAAAATGTAACTTTAACTGGTCATTTTACCAAGTTGCCTAGTTTTCGTCAAAAAATGTTTCCAGTGATTTTTCGTCGTTTTACTTTGATACTAAATCCTTATTTAATGCCATATTAAGGGTAGGCACAATAGAGTAGGCTACAGTATACTGTATATTAAAAGACTGCAGGAATGGTTAAAAAACGTTCGCCTTCAAATCCAATTGTTTTCCAACCTCCAAGTAGGAGATCATGTTAAAATTTCAATATAGAAAACATCACAATAAAATATAAATGAGTTTTAAATTTATTATGTTTAAGTTCACTATATTTTATTAAGTGATTGTAACAGATTGTTATTGTTTTACGTTCTGTGCAATTATACTATTGATAACAGCAATACATACCGTAGCAATACAAGGGATGTTCATATAATGTAAAAAATCAATACATACGTAATTTTTATAACATGTAGAAGACAGGGGATTCCCAGTTTTTATACCGTATAATATTCCACAAACAGCCGTATTCAAATCTGCCAGCCGAAGGGTCGGACTGATTTATTGAATATCAGCTAAACATTAATGAAAAGTAAAAACGTTTACAACCAGAGAGGTTTTTGCATCTCCTTGTGTACAATATATCAAGTACAAAGAGTCATAAAAAAGATGAGCTATAGATGAGCTATGATAACACTATAATTATTGGTGTCTAAAATATAATGAGTTTGATGTACACGCATTACTGCCGATAGGGTACAGGAGGTTAAATATATCGGGGACCAGGCCACAGGGTAAAACATAAAACATAGTGATGTCGTCCGGGAGGAGGGTGGGGCCGGCCTTGTAGGGGAGGGCGTTTACCCTCCTCACTTCAAGTAGGAAAAGCACAATTCGTTTTTGAGAGAGAAAGAAAACTATGTACAGTAATATTTTAAGGTGATAATGGTAACGACTTTATTGATGTCTTTCTTTTAATTGTTTAAACAATTAACAGTCTATGTCCTATAGACCATGGTATTAAACCACCAGTACAATAACGTTGCAAGAGGAAAAGGCATAGGCCTAGACCTAAAATAGAAGCATAATGTTGTATACAGGAGTAAAGTGTGCGTGTCGGGCATCGCTTAAAATTTTTCGAAAGTGGTCCGGGGGGCGAAACTCCGAAAAAATCAGTATGGCAATTTATGGGTTTCGAAGGCTTATTTAATCACAGTGGCGTCACACTCGGGCGCTGACGGTGGAGGTGGGTGGGGGGGGGGCGCCAGGGCCCCCAGGCACGAGGGCCCCGACATTGTTTAAAAAAATATAATATACGGTAAACTATAATACCATAGTTCATTCAATGGGGCTCCAACCGTTTTAAACAATAAGCTGGGTTCTGATGTTTGACATTTGTTTCTGATTTTGTGATCCATCTGATTTGCATTGTATAGGCCCCTATAGGTACGTTATGAAAACATATTTTGTTTCTCACTAAAATATTCTCTTTATTTATTTACACCTACAAAGAGTACATAGGCCTATTGGTAGGCATATACCAATTCCGAAAGTTGGCCTATGTAGTCAATGTTGGTTTTGTCATAAAATTGTCCGAAATACTTAATCACTCATGGACCATTGCTATGTTCATAATGACATAAGCTCTGAGCACGGAAGCCCCCTCGGATCCCCACCGGGGGCCTTCACCCCTGGACTCAGTCTGCTGGTCATGCGTCCCCTTTTCCCCTGCGTCTGTTTGCTCGCTCCCCTCGAAAGCTTAACGCTCGCTTCGCTCACGTATTAGGAGCCCCAATAAGAGTCAGCGCCAGGGCCCCAAAAACTCCGTGACGCCACTGTTTAATCGATGTTTGAGTCTACTAATATGTAGAAATAAATTGTTTTCTCCCCGACGAATTATTGTATTCTGCTCGACGGGGAAGGGGGATGGGGAGCTCTCCCTCATGGGGTGGGCTTCCCTATCGCTGGCGCCACCCCTGTTGCAATACGGTACGTTGTGCTATATTTATGTGCAGTTTACCAGTGGCGTAGCTAGGTTGTGATGGGCCCTGGTTGAAGAGTACAGTCGGGGCCCTTGACGCATGCACATCGACTGACCATGTGAACTACGATGTGTACCACCGATGGGTTGGTTAAGAGCAGGGGTTCCTCCGTTTATTTTTTACACTATTTTGACAATAAATCTTTCGATTTTTTTTAAAGAGCTAGCTATTGGCTGGGGTGACCATATTAATAAGCATTTTTACTTCCTATGACAAAAAACAAAAAACAAAAAACAAAATTCGATATTTACTGAATTAGCGTTTTTCATTTATCAGATTAACCATTGAACAATGTCAACAATTATCTTGTAGGCCTATATTACTTTTATATACTTAAGCTAAATAAAATGAATTGGATCACACCTGATATCATTTACTTATGCATGACTGTGACCATGTATTGTAAACAAAAACATCCGATAAACATGGCAGCCAAACACCTTAATATCGTTCACTTAGAAACAAATGCACGTCTAGGCCTAAAATTCGAAAATCCAAATCAGATTATGTTTTATCAGTTGAATACACGATCCCAAAACATTTGGGGGATGAAATGAATAAACTTATCGAAATCTTGATTGTGAACATTTTAGTGATTACTTGAGTAATATAGGAACATATATTTCAAACTCAATTAAAGAAAACAAAACAGAATGAAACACTTAATTTTACAGGACTTGTGTCTGGCGATATTGAAAAGAATGTGGCATGTTTATCTGAAAATCGTAGCCTTGTTGATACTAGGCCTACTGTTAGCAGGCTACTTAGACCCACATTACGCTATATCGCGAAAAATCTGTTCCATCTTTTAGAGAAAAAAAAAGGGGAAAAAAAATAATCGCCCAAAAGGCCTCGGAGGTTATTTTCGGGCGTCTAGAACACAAATTTTGCGGGGGCATGCCCCGGACCCCCAGGGTTATCTCGATCGGCCCCCACTTTCTTCTCACTAAATCCCCCACCCCCTTTTTGGACATCTCTGGATCCGCCCAACGAACCACTAGCAATTATAGACCAAT